GGACATACTGTGGTGGCAAATGGCACCGAATTCGATTTTCATCTGTTGCCCAGCGGCGTCGTGAACGAGAAGTGCATTTCGGTCATCGGTAAGTGGTACAAGGGAAGAGGCCCGGTTTATTGGATGCAAAAGGGATATCAAGAAACTCCTACTCTATTGGTATAAGGCACAACTATCCACTGTTGACACATTCTCAAGTAAAAGAAAAGAAAGCAAGAAATATTTTTCAAAATGAATATTTTTCAATGAAAGTAAGCATCTTTTTCCTTTTCTTTCTTTGTTGTTTTCTATCATTTCTAATGCTTTTCTTTCAGTATATTTTTCTTATTTTTTATTTAAATTTAAGAAGAACTCACACACCTTTACATTTTATATATATCACAGAGTGAAATTTGTTTTTATTGTTTTGTTTTTAGCTTTCGTTCGTTCGTTCGTTCGTTCTATTGCAAAAGTGAAATTGAGCGTACGAAATAAACGAAAATGTAGTATATATATATATATTCATTTACATATATACAACTAGTATGTATCGTGCGAATGTTTACATATAAGAATTTTGTTGGCAAGACTTGATGCGACATTGACATTGGCTTTTGCGGTCAGTTGGTCCCGCATTTGGCTTTGACATCTGCCTGCATTATAAAGGCTATTTATTTTCTATTTTAGTTTCACTCTCTAGGCCTTTGCCGTCTTCCATTAACTATCTCGATTCTTCTTCTCGCATTTTGACGTAAATGGAGCTCTTGCTTGGCTTGACGTAATCCGTTGTTGATTGTTGCAAAAGGCAAGGTCGTGCCCGTGCCAGGGCACACGTTTCTTCAACTTGCTGTTATCATATTCATATCTTTAAGTTATTAAACTTTTGCATATTTTGTTCGTTTCTTAAAGTTTAATCGATAAATTCCCCTTCCGCAGCAAAATGTAGCTTGTCATCGCCTGTCACAAGACTAATTTATGAGATAATCACAATCTCATCACCTATACATGTAACTGCGAAAGCATTTCACAGTGCAGTTCGCATGAAGTCTATTGCGTGCTACAGGCTTACGTTCAGCAACAGGCAGCACAAATTGTCTGAAAATTAGTCAACTTAAGCTGAAATATAGACAACTTGAATATAATTAACGTTAATGCCACGCACAAGATAACGCAAAGTGCCTCCATTTCTTTGAAGCCTAGCCAGATATCAGAGCAGTCTGATAAGGTGCGAATCCATGCACGTGTTTTTATTGCCAGTTATAAAACTCTTTTTTACCCACTTACTGCCTTTAATCTCTGGAAAAGATAAGATTGCGAAAGATATTTGACAAAATCATTGCATTTAAGCTCAACTAATAGAGCTTCCTTAGTCCCAAATTTGCTTCTATTTTTGCAGAAAAACCTTCCTTTTGTACAAAATCTATTCCTGAAGAATCAATAGTTATATCATATTAGAGTTAAAATTAAAAATAAAGAGAATCTACAAAATAAGAATCTAATAAACAATTCTTCCTATAGGACTAGTCCGAAGTTGATAAGATTTTCTTAATTGTTTGTTTATTACTGATCGAAATATCTTGATAATCTTAAAAGTGTGACAGTTTCGACCGATCAATCCTGTTTCACCTATATAATGAAGTCATCCGATATGGTCGGTTCTACAAATGTACTGCCGGCTGTTGCATGTCAGCTTTAAAACTGACAGAATAGTTTTTTATAGAAACAGACGGACAAAGAACGCTTTAGTGGACTTACACTTAAATCTGTACTACGTTGAAGTTGTAGTTTTTTATTTATTTATTTTATTTTTATTTATGTACTTTCTGAGTCGTCAGACTTAGTCAGCCTAAAATAAATAACTGAGGTCCACTTTTAAATAAAGTAGAATGCATTTAAAATTATTCAAAAGTAGCCCGAATTGGTATTTCCTTTAAATCGACACCGCACCGCAGCATATGGATCCCTAAATAACAGAATATTTTTCTTTGTTATTTGCGTATTTTTAGGCAACGGCGTCGTTATTCATCTGCCTTCGCTGTTCGACGAGGTGCTGAAGAATGAGGCTAAGGGATTGCAGCACTTGGAGAATCGTTTGATTATCTCGGATCGTGCGCATCTGGTGTTTGATTTCCATCAGCATGTTGACGGTATGCAGGAGGCCGAGAAGGGCGGCAAATCGCTAGGCACCACCAAAAAGGGCATTGGTCCGGCCTACTCCAGCAAAGCCACCCGCAATGGCATTCGCGTGGGCGAACTTCTTGGTGACTTTAACTTGTTCAGTGAGAAGTGAGTGGCTCCTTATACTGATCCCCTCTCAATGCCTGACTAGCATATTTGTACATACAGATTCAAGTCAATTGTGAATACACATTTGCGGCTGTTCCCATCGATTAAGGTCGATGTGGAGGCCGAGTTGGCGCGGTACAAGGATTACGTGGATAAGGTGCGGCCATATGTCAAGGACACGATTTGTTTCTTGCACACGGCACTGCGCAATGGCAAGACTATTTTGGTGGAAGGCGCTAATGCAGCCATGCTGGACATTGACTTTGGCACATATCCCTATGTGACAAGCAGCAATTGCAGTATTGGCGGCGTGCTGACCGGCTTGGGTTTGCCGCCACAAACAATTGGCGAGGTCATTGGCGTTGTCAAGGCGTACACGACGCGTGTGGGCGATGGTCCGTTCCCCACGGAGCAGTTGAACGTGAGTTTTCCCTTGTTAACTTACACTTGTTACTAAGAAATTTTGTTTTATACAGGAAATTGGCGATCTACTGCAGACGCGCGGCTTTGAGGTTGGCGTAACTACGAAGCGTAAGCGCCGCTGCGGCTGGCTGGACATTCCGCTGCTCAAATACACGTCCCTGGTTAACGGCTACACTTGCATTTGCATAACGAAGCTCGATATTTTGGACACCTTGCCCGAGATTAAAGTGGGCGTAAGCTATAAGCGCAGCAGTGGTGATAAACTGGATCATTTTCCTGGCACCATCAGCGAGCTGAGCGACATTGAGGTGGAGTACGCTGTACTTCCCGGCTGGCAGACGTCCACTGAGCACATACGCAACTTCAAGGAGTTGCCCGAGAACGCACAAAACTACGTACGCTTCTTAGAGAGCCAACTGAGCGTACCCGTGCGCTGGGTGGGTGTTGGTAAAGGGCGCGAATCTATAATTAATGTACATTAGTTAGCCATACACATTATGAATATGCGTACATATACGAGAGGGAAACGCTTTAAAATCTATTTAACCCATTAGCCAGAGTTGCGCCTGTTTTTGCGTTCAGGGCGTTTAACTATAAACTTAACCGTAAAGTAATATCTATAACTACAACAATTTGGACACAAATTTTTAGCCTATTGCTTTCTTAAGGTATATATTTTAGTTTGATGGACACCATTATCTGGTTTTTAATTGTCGATTTACTAAAAAAAAAATTGCACAGGCTTATATTTTCGTTTGTTGAGACGTACTTAGGTTTTAAGATCGTCGAGTGGTTTTTAATTTTGATATGCATAAAAGAGTAGCAGATTTTTATTGTACAAAAACTAATTAACGTTGATTTAATATTTAAATACAACATTGTGCTTTGACTTGTATAATTTTAATTGTAATCTACATGGAGTTATTTGATTATTGGTCCCACTTCAGTCGCATTTGTTTGTCGCAAATTAATTGAGAATGCGCAATAAAAATAACATAGTCGAATATTTTGTGTTTTATTTGATTCAAAAAAGAGATGTTTGGCGCGTTGTTGTGAACGGCTTGAATCGAACTTGTGCTGCCAGATGTTTGTTTGACTGAGTGGCAACGCTGAACATAGTTGCAGCCCGTGGGGCTGTGACTGGCACTCGTCCCATTTCGTTTTTGACCAGCAAGTTAACTGGTTCAGCGCTGCTCAAAATAAAAAGATTTGACTATCTCGACCAGATAAATTGCTAAAAATGGTAATTTTTCAAATACCATATTGTTTCGGCTTGCTACAATAAAGTATTCCGCGTTTTAAAATAAAATTTTATTTAAAAAAAAAACTGCACGTGTTGGGCAAGCATCTGTGTGTAACATAACCTCACAATTTTACTTTTTTTATGCTTGTAGGCTGCTGCTCCTAAAGACATTGAGAAGCCCCATGGCGGCGATTCTGCATCTGTGCACCGCATTCGCATCACTCTGACTTCCAGGAACGTACGCTCCTTGGAGAATGTGTGCCGTGACTTAATCAACGGTGCCAAGAACCAGAATCTGCGTGTCAAGGTAAGAAGAAGAAACGCTGCCGCGTGTAGATATCTCAACATTCTTTGCCCGCATTTACCTGGAGGTTTTGTGTGCCTGCTTGCCGCTTAGCCTAGTCAATATTAAATGCTAGATCAAATGCTTGAGTTGGACATTATTTTCACATTGAGACAAACGGTGTGAAGATATTATATGATTCACGCAACAAACGAAAAGTTTGAATCATATTGGTTTTCCAGAAACTAATTGTAAATATTTTAAATTTCAGGGCCCAGTGCGCATGCCGACCAAGATCCTACGCATCACCACCCGTAAGACTCCTTGCGGTGAGGGTTCCAAGACATGGGATCGTTTCCAGGTGAGTCAAGTTCAGCCATCGATTGTTCTTATATGGACAGATCAGATATCGTGCCTTGGCACTCAAACTGCCTTTGCACAGTATCAGCGATTTGCCCAGATTAAACGTATTCTCATAGTCCACTTTGCTGGTAATCCACACAATTTGGCTCTCCGAATTCGACAATATATTAATTGTGAATTTACTTAGATTTTGAAAGCGTATTTTTACTAATTCTCATCTCTCCCTCCTACATTTTAGATGAGAATACACAAGCGCATCATCGATTTGCACTCTCCATCTGAGATCGTCAAGAAGATCACCTCGATCAACATTGAGCCCGGAGTAGAGGTTGAGGTCACCATTGCCAACTAAGATCGGCTGTCGAACCTTCTCAACATGCTGAAAAGTTTCGCATTTTAATAAATCCACAAACTTTTCATAAATACGATTGTTGTGAACTTTATTGCATTATGGATGCTTGTTTTAGTATAAGATTTCAAATAAGTACTGGAATGTAAAGCACGTTTGTTTGCCAGCTGCCTGCACGGTGCTTTTGGTCTAGTAATAATCTGGGACCGGTGCACAGGCTATTTTCACAAAATCAGCGTAGCGCACGGTGCTATTATTGTTGACATTCGCCTCCCTGAATATGTTATCCACCTCGCGCACGGACAAGCCCTCGCCCCAGTTTTGCAGCAAATTGCGTAGCTGTTTTGCAGATATTGTGCCCTTGTTCTGTGGATCGGCTGCTTTGAAAGCGGCAATCACTTCGTCTGGTAGATTCTCCACCGAAGAGTGCTGGTGCATGATGTCCAGAAAGTCTGCAAAACTCATTTTTCCATTCTTTTGCTTCAGATACGAAACTAGTTCTTGTATAGTAGGTGACAAGCCCAAGGAGCGCATAATGACCTGTTGGATCAAATTTAACTGAAATGTTGTTCAGACATTTTTTCATGAATAGTGCTTACCGTTAGTTCGTCCAAATTGTTTATTTGGCCCGAACGAGCGAAAAGATAAAAACACTCGCGGAATTCTACGGGGGAAGGAGAAACATAGATAAGCATATTTTCGGAATGAAATCATGCAGTGACTATTTTATGTTTAGTATAATTACCATCGATGTCCTGTTCTTTAAAGTAGCGAGCCTACGCACAAAAAGAAAGTAAATTCAGAAAGTAATTAGCATAATAATTAAAATGGGAAATGGGGACATTCAGTCAAGTGGAAAGTAGTTTTAATAAATGCTTGCAAGCGGACAGTTTGAAACGTTTGTTTTATCTTTTGTAGGCAGAGTTCTGATAATTAATTTTTGCTATACCATACCATTTAAATTGTTGTTTTTTTTTTCTATTTTCACTGCAAACAAAATAAATAAACGAATGAAAACTCAAACAGGTTGTGGATTAAATTTTGGGCGCTGCCACCTTGTTGAAAATGGCCGATAACAAATTCGATAGCTAGCTTACCTGTGCAACAGCTGTCGTGCTGTGTAACTGGCAAAAGGTGAAGAAGCAGAATCAATTTGTGTACGTGTGTGTTTTGATAGCTGAGCTAGCTAGTAGCTACGTGGTGATTGTGCGTGCCACCAAATTCGAAATCCTCGCAAACGAAATTAGCGCTTCCACATAAATGCATCTGTCAGACCTTACAGCGGCTTTGCTGCTTGCCCTAGTTGGCTACAGCAGCGCACAGCGTGTGGCACCCGGCGTAAATCCTCAGCATTATGTGAGTAGAATTAAATGCTGAATATTTTTATATATTGTGCAACCAGCTGGAAGTTGACTTATAAACTTATTTACTACCATTTATCATGTGGAACAGCAACAAGTGCCCCACCAAGTTCCACAACATCACCAACAGCCGCCACCTCCACAGCAATACCAACAACAGGGACACGCTGCGCCCGGCGTGCCTCCGCAGCAATATGTGAGTGGTTGTCAGGGATACCCCTGCTATTCAAGGCAACTTATATGCCAACCTATATTTACAGGTGCCTGTCCAGCAGCAACCACAGCAAGTACAATATCAGCAGGTGCCCGTGCAACAACAACAACAACAGCAGATCCATCAGCAGCAACAAATGCAGCAGCCTGTGCAACAGCATCCACAACAGGTGCCGAATCATCAGCAGCAGGCGGGCGGGCATCATCATGGACAGCCACAGCAGGTTTTGAACACGGGCAACATTCAGCAAGAGCGTGCGTAAGTGTCTGCCTTGGCAAAATTATCAAATGATACGTTGATAATTTGCAATCGTCGCCATTAATCATTGTGGACTGAAACTGTATTGAAAATTCACCGCATCGTAATGGAAATAATCTTATCATATGCATAGACAACTTCGCACCTGTATACTAACTTACGTATTATCTTTCCATAGTCACATCCAGGAGCACATGCAGGTGCCCATCGATACGAGCAAAATGTCCGAGGCTGAGCTGCAGTTCCATTACTTTAAAATGCATGATTCGGACAACAACAACAAACTGGATGGCTGTGAACTGATCAAATCTCTGATCCACTGGCACGGTAAGCACCGCTGGGTACCACTCATTTACGTTGTTATGTCTGTAGTTTGTTTAAAATATTTGCGTTCATTTTGGTTTTTTTTGATTCATGTGTTTTGTTTTACCTTTATTTGCATATACAAAATTTTACTACATTTCGGCTGGTTGTGCTTCTTCTGGTTGTGGTTCTGGTCATGTTCAACATTATCTAAACCCATTTGGCATGTGGCTTTAATAATTCATATTTCAAATCAACTGTATGTAGAGCAAGGCAGCAAAGAGCAGCCCAATGGTGAGAAGCCCCATGTAGAGGAGAAAGTATTCTCAGACGAAGAGCTGGTGGCGCTTATTGATCCCATACTGCAGATGGACGACACATCGCATGACGGTTTCATCGATTATCCGGAGTTTATTAAGGCTCAGCAGAAGGCTGCCGAAAAGCATCAGCAGCAACAGCAACAGCAGCAGCAGCCTCCACAACAGCAGCCAACCCATTAGTATCTAGTTCAATCGATTCAGCTTGCATAAACCAATCCAGCATAGTTATGTCTGTCTAAGTGTCTTGGTCCGCATTGTGCAGCTCCATGTACTCATGTTTCACCACAAACACACACACACACACCACACACAAATTGAAATTTAGGCGCAAACAATTGCAGCTCAAATTGTAATATACTTCAAACAAATGTTTTGAACATGCTACAAGCATTCCAATCGGGCAACTTCTTTGAACAAATTGTATAATTTATTACACAACTTCTCAAAAATTCGAATAATAGCACACACGAATCTCCTTTTGTGATCAGTGCAATTAAACTGTTTGTTTTTTGTATAATCTTTCCCTAATTTTAGTTATTCGTTCAATATGAAGTTAATTTTAGGCGTCACTTAAAAACAGCGAAAAAAAGGCTGATTGTGTAAACATTTGTTTTGTACAAAAGAAAGAAAATAAAAAAAAAAAAAACAAGCGAAATGTTCTGAAACTATTGCATTCAATTGATCTTTAGAAATTGATATATATATATACATTATATGCGCATGCAATTCATTATAAGAAACGTGTTTTTAGCAAATAAAAATGACCTACAAAATAAAAATGGAACAAACTAAAATATGTATAATCTATAGTTGGCCTATGACATGGTGGAATTAGCCTTAAGAGAAAACTAAACGTTTAATCATTACATTTAAGACCTAACCTTTTCTTTGTCGTTTCAGTTGAAGATCCAAAGAAGGCTGCCGAAGGAACTGCTGAGCCGGAGCACAAAACAGGCTCCGTGTATACCGATAAGGCGCTGGAGGAGACCATAGACTATGTGCTCAAATCCATGGATATAAATAACGATGGGTTTGTGGATTATGCTGAATATCGTAAAACTGAAGCGACCATCGGCAAGGATTAAAATTCCGACTAATAATCAGAGAGAGCCATAGAACTTGACACACATTTTAGTTGTTTATTTGAGTTTGTTAAAACTTGTTTTTTTTTATACTTTTTCGTAATAAAAATGACCAAGTGGAATTGGGTTTTTATTCGTACTCCTTTGTGATCAAAATTTTTAAATTAACGGATGCTAATATCAAAAGTATTTATCTATTATTCAATTGCTGTCACGGCTAGAACTTTTACGGTACAATTTGAAACAGCCGGCCGGCCAATGGCGAAAAAGCTCTCACATTGCATAAAAGCTCCTTGGCGGTTGAAGCTTTCAATCTGCGTCGAAGCGTCGCGGCAAACACTTGCAAAATGCGTTGATAAAAGGAAAATGATAAAATCAATCGTTAAACGCTACATTTTCTCATAATAATAACTTGGTGCTATAATAATTGTATATTCATCATACGCCACGTGTGCCTAGAAATCTAAAAGACATTCGCAATGTAAGCAAAGCCAAAAAAAAAGAGTACACAAAACAAAGTTTCAATTTATGAGTTGCATGCCACAAATACCGTTGCTCGGGGTGACCCTGGCATCGCGTTTGTTGACTGAAAATAAATAGCCTCAAGCGTGTCCGGGGCACGCATCCGGGCGCGCATAGCACGTGCTCGCGTGCAGCTATTAATTGGCCCATGTGTAAATATTTGCCGTTGCATAAATAATAAAGGTGCCAGGTGCCAGGTGTGGGTGTGATATCGATTTTACCCAGCGCCCACCTGAAACCGTTGCGCAGGGTTAAGTGGGGCGTTTGGTTGGCAACGATTTATAGATTTACCGGCCGGCATTGTGTATACAAGTATATATTTTTACGACATTATGCTGATATTTTCGTTTATTAAGTGTTAATTGTGCCTTTTGTGCCTTACAGGGCTGCAATGCAGTCAGCCAGCAGTCGACCCCGCGAGCGTCTGCTCTACGCCTTTCGTGGTTGGATAGCGTTTGTTGCTTTTATGGATCTGGGCACAGCGTTTCGCAGCTATATCGAGCGTCGAAGTTTTCTGGGTGATCACAGCGATACGCAGTTCATCGAGGGTAGATATAAGAGCAACATTTCTACATGTAATATAACTAAATTTCAATCCCTTAGGTGATTATACTATATCTCGCATAATCGGCATGTACTGTCTTCTAAAGGCAATCGCATTGGTGCACTGTACTCTGTATATACACTACAGGCCGTAAGTATAAAGTAGATATTCAAGGTAATGCAGTGTAATAGTTATTGTCTTTCGAACACAGCGTTGTCAGCATGGGCGGCTGTTCTTTGGCACTTACCATGGTCTTCTATGCCACCGAAGCACTCTACTTTCGTTCGAGCACTTTGAACTTTTACGTTATCTTCCCTTGCGTCTTGAATAGTGAGTAAATACTGTAGGAAATACGTAGGTCACAATTAAGCATTCCAATATCCATCTACAGCAATTACTCTACTGGGTCTGATATACATACCAAAAAGACTTCGCCTCTGGGAGCCCAATTTGGACATGGATGATGAGAACTCGCAATTATTGAGGCAAATGACTGGCTATAAAAGACGTCGTGCGAAAAAGCAATAATTCGATATTTAAACAAAAACAACGAAGCTAGAAACAGAAACGATTACAGTTTGGATTGAGAAGAGAATGAGAAAGAGAATGAGTTATAGAACGACACATAAATCAGATGTTGAAAGGCATATTATCCGTTATGGACTGCATCGATGTGATCATAAACATCAAACAATACTTAACTATATAGCAATACTAACCGAAGCCAAATTAGTGATTTTCTATATTAAGAACAAAGGAGAAATACTCTGCGTACATACGTCAATTGCTGACATAATCACCCAAAAACATTTTGTACTTCCTTTTTAGAATTAATACATATATTATTAATCCATGTTAGAGTTTATTGCACTTTTAATATATATAAATAATTAGGTAATGCCATTATATGAATAAGTTGACAAGTTAACGTTAAGCAAATTGAACATTTGACTCAAGAAAAATGGCTTTAAATTTACAATCACGTTTATAATCAAATATTTATAGTATTATGGAATTTTTCCATTAGATTCACAAGTAGTTAATTGCAATATTTGCACATTTAAAAATATATATCCAACGATCATATACACACATATGTAGCAAAGATGCTTTGTATCAAACGTACACCAATATTTATTTCAAATATATAACAACAATAATAGATTTAGCAACAGTACGGTTCATCCTTATATATTCAATAAAAAATGAAAAGTTTGAATTTTTGAAAGAAATACATTTTGCTTAACTTACTTGGTATGACAAAAAGTAAGTATCTCGTTTAATTTTGAAAATTCTGAGTACTTTTTATTTTAAAACTTACTCTTACGATACTCTACGATTAGCATCGAAATTTTATCGCACTGCAGCCAGTTTAACAGAATTACCAATTAACAGAAAATGTTGTATGGCTATCAGAAATGTTTAATCGATATATAGCTATCGATTATTTTTTGCTGTACCTGGCGCACCGGCGAATTTCATTTTAAAAGTATTTTTCATCAAATTTTGTTATTAAACACGTCAAATTGCTTGTATTATCCATTATGTATCGAAAATTTAAGAAACGCACCAATGCTCGATTAGGACTCAATACAATTGATGAGAATGCAACAATTAAAATACCGGTAAGCGATCACAGAATCTGCTGTGCCTGAGATCATAAGCAAAATTGTTGTTGTCTTTGAAGCGCGTTCCATCTGCCCAAAAAACAGATGCTACAATCGAGACATTGACTGGCGAAAGTGAGGAAGAGAATATACCAGCTTCCCAGGAGCAAACGCAACGTTTCCTGTCTCAACACAGCCTCGCATTGGCCGCTACATTGGGTCGCACCCAGTCATCGTCTAGGATCAACAGTTCCCGCCAGCCGAATAGCTTCTTTGAGATGGTGCTCCTGAACGCTGGTGTGCAACTGGACCAAGCGGACACATTTGTGCTGTCCTGCGATCACATTGCTATTGTCTCTAAGCTACGTGACATATTGGTGCGCTCTCCAAAATATCCCGAAAATATTGCAACCTTTAAAACGGGTCTAAACGTAGCGCTTGCACCCAAATCGAAACTGGCCCAGAAACTGCTTAGTGGCTGCACCATAGACACTGCTGGAGAAGAGCAGGTGTACCAATCACAGAACAGCATGTTCATCAACTTTCTGATGATTGACTTTCTACGCGAGCCCTGCCTTGAGGTGCTTTTTAACAAAATCGAGGAGATTGCCAAGTTGGAGCGAGTGCAAACGGTGCCGGGTTGCCTGCCCTTGCTGCCATTGATGCTTGCCCAATTGCGGTACCTAACGCTGTCGCATAGTGATCAGATTTATGCACACATCGAACGCATCTTTAATAACGCCTCAGAGCCGTCTAAGTTAGATATCATTAGCAGCGCTGAGTATTTGCTGGATGGAAGTAAACACGACGATTTTGTCGAGCTGCTCACGTATGTCATTAAGTGTCTATAAGTGGAGCTCTCTCTGTTAACTGTTGTCTGTCCTATCTAGCATTAATTATTCGAGCAGCAAAGATCTTTTTCAATTGACCACACTACAAATGTTAAGCAATTTGACGCTTAGCGCTAGAACACAGGGGAAACTTCGCGAACGTATCCTGGAGTTCATCAAGGACGAAAACAATTGCTCGGATGTGGTAAGCTCACTCAATGTAAATAGATTGTGCACTAATCAACAAATTTTGATAAATCAATTCTTTGTAGACACTGCCGCATCTCATACGCATCTTGCTTAATAGTCTCAATCAGGACACAGACGCTGTCGTGCGTGAGGTACAACACAATAAATACATTTTGTTTTAGCTCTAAGCCAGAGACAACTGGAAGTGTGGACTATCAGTATGAATATTTGAGTATTTATGGCCATGATCCAACAACCTATTTTTTTAATTGAAAACCTATATTGATTGATATTTAGACCCACATGTCGAACTGGGCCGGTTCAAATCACTTAATCAAATAGCTGGCATTATTAAAACGCTTGTTGGAATTTGTTTGTTCACGATTTCTGAACAATCTCGCATATAACGAGCTTCATTATGCTTCCTTCTTATCATCAACATATTATTGACACCAAAATATTTAAATCGGCATTCCTATAATAACTCTTACTTCTTGTTATAAATTATAATTAAAATAATTGTTTTGCTTTTTTTAGCTGGTCACCACACTGCGCGAAATCTTCACCTGGCGTCATAGTTCGCAAAGAGAAAGCTCTCCTGCGATTGACGCGCGTGTTGCCAACGATAAGCAATCACAATTGGAGCTCTTTGGTTTTCTGCAACAGGGTCTTAAGCGCTCCAAGCGATTTTATCAAATGTGGCAGCGTACCATCAGTGGTTTGCCCGCCAGCGAATTCAAGTGAGCTTTAACTATATGTGATATATATGATTATCCATTTGAACTGTTCGCTAAACACTTTGCAGATCCTTTGATTTTATAATGCTGTTGCTGCTCATACACATCAACGAGGATAACACATTATTTATTGAAAATCTTGTAGGTGCTATCCAGGCATTATCTGATTGTCTTTAATGTGCCCTTTTTTGTAATTTTGCAGTTGCGCCGACGCATTAAACTAGAGCACATCACAGTAAACATATTGGATGAAATAAAAACGCACTTTCCGCATATATTGGAGCAACATATTGGCACCCTGATGCACATACTCCATGACTTTATGCGTGAAAAGAATCGCATTGTTGCTGATTTTGCCAAAGCTGCCTACAGGTGGGTTCTATTGGATATATATGCTTACTCTTCATTAACCGTATGTCTCTTTGGTACAGTGTACTTTTTAAAATCTGCAACTCGATACAAAAAAGCATACTTAAGAAACTGTTGGAGCTAACCTTTGATAAATCTGCCCAGCATGTGACCACCACGTTGACATTACTGCGCGAACTGCAGCGGAAGAATCCTAAGCACGTGCAGAACTGTGCCATGTTGTTAATGCCGTTGCTCGATCGCCTCAGCGATTTGACGCTGCCCCAAACACGCCTTGCCATGGACTTGCTGTGTCACGTTGCATTCCCCGAACCCAAATTGCCAGAGTGTGCGCCGCTGCAGGATCAGATCGAAATGGTAGTAAAGAAGCAGCAAATCAATCGCACCGAATATGTCAAGAGGCAGGGCATCATTGGCTGCGTGCAGCTGATTGATGCCATTGCACGTATTGAAACGTTGCTTATGAACAACGAGGATTTGCAAACCAGCGTGGACAGCATTACCTCGTTGCCAGACGGACGCAGCAAGCAGGCAGCTAACCTGATAAGTAAATATATTGAGTACGTTCATGGAAATCAATTGACTGAATTCCTTTCAACATTCAGTGCTCACTCAGTCAGCTATATGCAACTCTCCTGAATTGCTGGCATTGTTTTACGATGAGTTGGCTAGTGTTTTGAATGTCCGCTACTACAACCAAGAGTCGATTTATATGCTGGACAATCAGTTTCTGATGTGGCTCTGTGAGTTGATGACCTATCGCTTCCAGCAGAGCTTTGTGAATGATCATCAGCCGAACACAATCAAGTAAGCCCATTTCTTAGGACTACCATTTCCACTTACCATAAGCGTACGTTTTTGCAGAGGCATAAGGCTAGAGTGTCAGAAGAACATCAATGAATTAGACGATACAAATGTAAATACTGAAGCAGCTGTACTCGATATTGGCATTAATATATCTGAACTGGTTTTGAGTCCAAATGGCAAGTGAGTTCAAGTACACGTTTTTACTTTAAAACCTGTACACACTATAGCTGCTACCTTTTCAGTGCCTGTGACTCGGTTTATGTGCTTGCTCCACTCTTTCACCTGGTCAGCGTGTTGCACAATCAACGCTATCAGTACAGTCTGGAGTTGGTAAATGCACTGCAGGGTTGCGCTATTGTGTTGCCCTCGTTCTTTGATGATCCGAATTATTTGGCCATCTTTGACAATTATGATGAGGAATTGCAAAAGCGCATTTTGTGCATTTACTTTCACACGATCAACTGGATGCGCGTTACGACTTGTGCCTTCGCTTCCCAGAAGGATGAAGCCACACGCAAGCGGGTTCTAAAGCGTCTCGCCGATTTGATTTGCACAGAGCAAAGACTAAAGCCGCTTTTGGCGCATGCGCCCACTGGTTTTGCGCCACCGCCATGCCAGTTCCTAAGCCATCCTAAGCAATCCGCAACACAGCATGTTGTGCGCGACAAAAGGCCTGCCACAAGCAAGGCCAAGGCAATTAATAACGAAACAATTACAGAGGATCCACAGAGCATGGACCAATCAAAACTGACCGATTTCAGCGTCAAGTTGGGTGCGTGCAAGTCCGTTAAATGCAAAATCAATTTTGAACAATTATATGGACCCATGGAGCGGTTTAGGCAGCTTGATGTGGGCATAATAGTGTTGTTGAAAGAGCAACCCTTTAGCCTGAACTATCCACTGGAAGCGGATGAAGTGGGCACTCATTTGGGTTTGCTTGAATTGCGCTTTATACTCACAGATTTGGTGCATAAATTGGACACTATTATCAATGGTCACCAGGACGTAAATGAAGCGGATTCCTTAAGGTCGCATGTGGCTAAGCCGGAACATTTTTTATCAGATTTACAAAAATGTCTGGATGAAATTCATATGTGTTTAATCACTCTGGGAGCGCACATTGATGAGGAACTGGAAAGAGTCAATAGTGTACACAGTAATTTGGATCTGTTCAAGGATCGTTTCAACTATGTAAAAACTTGCTTTGGTCTGTGCATTCAATTGTTTGCTTTGTATTTCTCATGGAACGAATGGAGTGACAAGTCCAAGACTGATCTGCTTCAGTGTAAGTAAAACATACCTATAAGCAAGTCCATATGATTGATAGATTGTTGTCCCGGCAGCATCTTTATATGCCCTGCTGCCACCTGGACAACGGAAGACAGCCAAAAAGCCAGCCATTGGACGCATTGCCTCACAGATTTTTGATTACTTCCTAAAATATGAAAAATCGACTTTGGTTCTTAGTACAGCTGTGCAGCTCCATCATCTGTTGCGCAGCTTGCGGAAGTTGAGCTGCTCCGGCGATAATGCAGCCCAGCGCAATGTTCAGCAGGGCGAAGATATGCGTAAGTTCTAATTATTGTACTTAATGCGATTTTCTGAACTTGTGGCCTTTTTAGGCAAATTTTGCACCAATATGCTGCGACGTAAGTGGTACCACTCCTCGGGTAGTGTGGAGAAGGGCGCACAATGTAACATTCACCTCGACGAGCTGATTAAAGGTTTTCTTAGGGATTCACCCTTTGAACGGCAAAAGGATATTTTGCTGGCACTTAGGGATGAGTGCCTGCTTCTAAATAAAAAAGATATGGCCTTAGAATCGATTCCCAATATCAAAAAGTAAGTTAAATCAATTAAATCCATTTTTCCAGAAAATTCATTTATTGGGTCTTGCAGGGCCAATTTTCCTTTGCTGTTTCGTGGCTTGTGTGAGATTCTCATTAGCACGCTGAACGCCCAGTGCAGCGGCTACACCGAAGGTGATCGATTTAAACTTTGGGAGTCAACTATATGTCTACTAAATGGCCTTTTGGAGATTGTCCAGAAAGTGGAGCAGCCACGTAACTTTGCCTTGTTTTTGAAGCACTCACAGCTGTTCCTGAAGCTGCTGCTACAACATGGTCTGTCTGTCCTTGAGACTATTGTGCGCGACAGTCCCGAACGGCTTACCAAGTTCCTTCGCGAATTACAGAATGTAACAAAGTTTTTGCACAACCTGTGCTGTCATTCAAAGTCCATAAAGAACACTGCCATCATAAGCTACATTCCCAGCCTGCGTGAAACACTGGAAACACTAGTGTTTCGAATGAAAGCGTTGCTGGCGGCCAACAAGTGCCACGCCGCTTTCCACATCAGCATTTTGGACAACAAGGATCTGCATGGCGATGCAATTGTAACGCCCAGGGGATCTCTTATCAACGAGACGAAAAGCGATGAGGAAATACCCGAGGATGATGCCAGTGTTGATGAAACTGTTATGGACGACGATTTGGCCAGCAGAAGTGTGGATAGTTCTACGCGGCGCAGCACCAATAGTCGCAGCAAATCAAACTCGCGCAGTAAATGCTTTTAAATGTGCTTGTATTCTTGAAAACATGACAAATATACACATACATTCTTTATGTTGAAGGAAAGTGTTGTATTATTTCGGCCTCTAAATGTATAAGTTACGCCTGAGTGGGAAGTGAGCACAAGTCTTGTTTTGCATTGTTTATTTAATTTTTTTATTTTTTATTATCTGGATGCAATTTTATTTAATTTTTGTATTACAAATAATAACAAATGTATGTATATCAAATATTTTAGTACAATATGCTTCTCACTTTTATTTTCTTCGTTAACAATAATTGTTTTATATGACGTAAAAGTTGTTGCTTCCTTTCGCTGTTTCTCCTACATTTCAGAATGTTCTTGAAATGATTATTAACTTTAGTTCTATACGTTTCTCTCTTTTTCGACTTTTCTTTAATAATTGGCGACGTTACGTTTACGGTTTATATAAGTCCTTCATACGTGTGACATGTATGCAAATGTATTGTGATGCTGGTTTCAAGGATAAGTAATTATATAAAACGATTTTCTTTTTAAAACAATTACAATTTCTTTAAAAAAAAATAGATATATATATATATAAAAACACACACAAACTATAAGTATACATATATAAAAAGAATTCGTTTCAAATTGTGTTGTAAATAAAAATTAATCGCGTAATTGTGCCGCTGATAAAAACAATGCAAAAACAAAATATTCTCTAAGTGTAAACATTTTCGACAATTCATTTTAACAAATATTGTCCTGATTGAAAGTATTAGTGTATTTGTGCAAACAACTGACACTGGAAACTGACTGTTCTAATTGTTTGTGCAAATCCCGCTGTGGATTTGCCGGCTGCCAGGATACAACGGATACTATTTGATCCGCTTCTAATACTCCCTGCATTCTAAACAGCTGCGCTTTTATCCAATTTGATGGGAACTTGAAATATACGTTCAAATAGCAACATTAACTTTGAGTTTTGCTGAAAAAATTCAAAAATAAATCGGATTAATTTGGAAAAGATTTTTGCACCCTCACGTACTGTTGGTATACTATTTCAATATTCAAGCTGGTTTTTTTTTTTTTTTGATTTATTAATTTTTATTGTTTTCTTTATTTGCCAATTTTTCAAAACTTAAAACATTTTACACAAATTAATTTAAAAAATTTTTAATACGTACGCAGTCTGTTTAAAAGTAAAGTTAGATTATACACTCCTACATCTACATATACACTATGTACTCACACATACATATATATATATATATATATATATGCTTTTGTATTTTAATAGAGAAAGATATATTTTATATATATGTATGTATATATAGATTTAGTAATTATGATTAAATCTTGCCTTTGCATCATCACAATTCATGTAAAGTTTTTGTTGTTGTTGTTTATGTTTGTTTTGTTTTGTTTTGTTGTTTTCTACATTTTTTTGAAATTTAATCTTTTTATTTTTGCTCAGTTTCCACGCGCCTTTTGCAATTTTTGTTTATAGTTTTATTTATTTAATATTGTTATATTTTGTTTGTGTTGTACGATTTATTTGTTGAAATTCAATTTACACACGTATACAGTTATTATTGTTGGATATTATGTAAGTATATTAGAGCTGGGTCAAAGGTCGAAAATGTGCTTGCGCTTCTGCTTTTACGATACACAAAAATGTTGAAAATTAAAACCAATTAAACAGCTAAACAAATTAGTTCGGTAAATATTTTTAACATTAGGGCATTAAGTTTATACGTAAAAATATTTTGCTAAAAATTAATATTCATATAGTTTATTATATATTTGTTTATATATATATATATATTTATTTATGTAACATAATATTGAAAACTTAAGCGCACAAACAAAACTAAATATTCAAATTAAAAACTAATTTTGCCAAACGTTTTTGCTTTCCCGAAAAAAATTAAACAAAATTACAAATTACAATACATATTTAACACAAAAATATAAAGGGCAGGGCCTTGGGGTTTTCGAAACAACAAATTTTGGGCTTTCCAAAAATAGGGGAGGGGGGAGGGGGATTTTTTCAAAACAATTATATGACTGCAAAGGCAGCAGCGGCACATAATTCAAATGAGTCTTGTATTGTATTTAATTTTTTTTTTTTTTTGTATAATTTTTGTTGCTTTTCGTTTTTAACCAAAGTGAAAACTTTAACGGATTGTGTAACAGGTTTTGCCAATTTGTTTTGTAGTTTACAATTAAAACACATTAACAATTAAGACTTATAATTAAAAATTACAAATTTAAAACAATATAAAATCAGTACAGCATCAAATTAAACAAAACTTTATCATTAGTTATATGTATACATATGTATATTTGCAATTGAAAATGGGTTCAAGTTTCAAAGTCACCAAAAATTTCCAAAATTTCGTTATCTTTCTTCTTTTTCTTTAAGGCATAAACAAAATTGTTTAACATGCAAAAATGCGCGGCGTACAAAATTTCAGTTTTTTTTTTGCCTTTTTGTTTTTGCTATGTTTGTGTGTGTTAAACAAAAAAATATATAAATGGATAAAAAATAATAATCTTTCGTAGGCAACAATTGATGAAAAGTAGACACAAAAAAAAGAGAAAAAAAATGCGCACAACGAAACTTAGTACAAAAAATTGGTTAAATATTTGTGATTGCTTTTTTTTTCGTTTTCGTTTTTTAATATTCTTCAATGTTTAGATTTATTTAGTTAGAAAATGGCGCACACTTTGCTGCGGCTGCTGCGGCTGCAGTTTACTCTGTTGCAAGGGAGTACTTTTAAATATTAGGGTATACGTTTATCTGTGTGTTGAGTGTGTGAGTGAGTGTGAGTGTGTGAGTGTGTTACTAAAGTTAAGCTTAACTATGGTCATTTAGAATTTGTAGTAAATGTTCTTATTGTTGTTTGCTAATGTATTTTTATTATTATTAGGTTTTAAAGTTTTTTGCTGGTGTTGCAAATTTGTTTTGTTTTGTTTTCTTTTTCAATTTGTTTTGTTTTGCGCAAGTTTAAAAGTATTTTTTGCTCTTCGTATATATTTAACTTTAGGCAACTGCTTGGTGTCTGTGTGTATCTGTATCTGGAGCTGTAGATGTCTGCATGTGTGTGTGTTGTGATTAAATTTTAAAATATCATATATTCCGTTTTAGGCGCTTGCTGAACAATGTTTATAGATACGCTTTAAAAAACTCACGCCTACATTTTCAAACATCATCTTCATCTTCATCTTCAACGTCTTCGTTTTGTTCTTGAGTTTAAAATTGGAAGTTTTGCTTGTTATTTGATTATAACTAATTTAATTGTTTATACATTTTTGTTATTATTTACTTAACTTTTTGTTTTACTTGAGATCTAGCAAAAAAAAAAATATATATATATCGATTGGAATAGACCGAAAGGAAAATTAAAATTTTACACAATTTCAACAAATGTTTTAGCCAAAAGTATCTTTTGTTCTCATATTTCATTTCGTATTGATGTTTGTCGTCTAGGAGGCATGGAGTTACAGTTAAATAATGCTTATTTATATATTATTATAGAGTTGCTAAATATGTGTGTGTTTATACGTTTCGATTTGCTATGAATCTGTGACAGCACTCTAATGTCAACTTTTAAGGACAAAAATCGAAAATAATATTTAGGAAAAGTTGTGTATGTAACTTGGAAGTTTCTTTTTAGTTTTAAATGTTAAATGTTTTTATTTGTTGTTGTTGTTGTTGTAAGTTAAATCTTTGAGGGCTGCTGCTAGACGCGTTGGCTAATTGATTTCGTAATTTAATTTCTTTGTTTTTTTTTTAGTTTTCGTATATATTAATGTTTACTTGCTTATTTACCGTTATTAAATTCCCTATAATATTATCGCTTGTAAAATTTATAGTTCCTATTAATTGTTTGTTAAACTGTGATGTCTGTGTGTGAGTGTGGGTGTGTGTGTGTGTGTCCTACTAATTCGTTGCTTCTCGATTGCAGCTATTCAGTTCATGGACTGCTGCGTTTTGTATCTGTAGCTGTAGCTTTAGCTTTAGCTGTATCTTGTATCTTTTGCGTGTATATTTTTTTTTTGTGCAATTTCTTAGCTCTACATAATTTATTTGTTGCTGGTTTTAATTGATTTCAAGTTACCTAAATTAGTTCAATTTAATCAGAAAGTCTTGCCAACGTGCAGCGCCAGACATTATATAATAATGCCACTTGCTGCTGCGCTCTAATTTTTAGTTTTCTTAACTCTCAATGCCAAACTATTTAATATTTTATTTATCTTTTATCATATTTTGTTTTTGCATTTGTTTTGTTTTTTTTTTTTTATAATTTCAGTCAATGTTTCTTCATTAAGCTTTGCTTCTGAATTACTTTTATCAATTTGATTAATTTTATCAATTTTTAGAGCTTTAATTTTATGTAATTTTTGAATTTCATTTTCTTTTGTTTTATTTACATTTGAAGGAAATTTCTTTTTTCATGTGTTTTTTCATTGTGGTTGTTGTTGTTAACGTGCAATTTCTCATACAATTAGGTTCCTATTTAATTTGCCGTTTGATTCGCGTTGTATACAAATAGTAGTAAAATGTTAATATATAATATTAGTTTGTTTGTTTTTCAATTTGGTTTTCGCGTTATGTATAAAAAGGTTGCTTAAGTTTTAAAAATCAATATACGAGCCTAACTGCACTATATACCGATATAAATAGATTATATACGTAGTTATATTTTTTCCCATTTTGTTTTTATATGCTCAATTATTGTTTCGATTTCAAGTTAAAAACGTATGCAGTTCTCGAATTTTAAAAAGGGGATTTTACATGAGTTTTTCTTTCATCTTTTGCCTTTAAAATATGTTTAGCATAATGCTCTAATTGTTATTTATATCATTATGAACTTGAACGAAATATGTTTGCTAAAATGCTGCGGCAAGTCTATAGATATATGCTATATATTTATATTAAATATTTTCTTCGGATTTATAGAGAGAAAGAGTGAGATGTGCAAAGCATTATCTAAACACAACGAAAAAAACATTTTCTTAAAGGGTCACATAAAGCCCAATTGCTAAATATAATTATGTTTTTCTTAATTCTTTTTTGTTATATAGGATTTATTG